CCCCCCCCCCCCCCAAGGCTTTTGTCGTCGTCTTGGCTTTTTTTAAATATCTGTATATGGAAAAGGTAATAACATAACACAACATATCTAATACAGTCATCTAAGGAACTGATCCTGCAAATATTTCCATATTAATCTTGTATTCAAATAAATATCTCCCCCAAATCATTGTAGGAAAAAGGCTCCTTGTCTTGCATTCACATACAAGGAAACCTCATTAAATACATTATCTATCACTAAACTGCTGCCAAAAGCAACATGTGCTTAGTAATGGAAACCAACTATGAAGTTCATTTAAATGCAGCCAACACTGAGCATGACTGTAAAACACATGGCCCATAATGGGCAAACACACTGTTGGACACTCTTTTATTAATGTATTTCATGTTCCAGGTCAAATCGACCAAATCAATTCCAAATCGGAACGACTGACTGAGCAGAACTCAAGAGTTCTAAACACCACATATGGTATTACAAACTGGCAAGCATCCTCTGGCCCAGGCTCTCACCCTGGGACTTCAGATATTCCCAAATCCATTGGCAGACATCCTACGTGCAGGCCCAAGCCCAGAGGTCTTGGGATTCGAATGCTCCCACTTGATCTAAGCCCACAAGAGGCTTGATATGAGCCACAAGGCCAAGAACCTACCACAAGGATAGGCCAGTGCAACCTATAAGTTAGTACAGCCTCTCTGAATAAAATATATGGTAGTGCCCATTTGCACTCAGTCCCCCTCAGCACTGACTTTTTTTTTTTTTTTTTTTAATAAAGTCATGGTGAGCTGCTACATTGTATACATTTTTTTTTTTTTTTTTTTTTTTACTGCCTCTTCAGTCCCACAGCTGAGCTGTGCATCTTTTTCCCACTTCCAATTATTCCTGTTTCTTCACCAGCCTGAAATGTTTGGCAAACATCACCAAGCAGGACCCCAAACAATTCACCCAGAATCCTTCTGTCAGCTTGTTGCATATGATTAGTGAGGAGCTGGTCGAGCTTGCCCTGCACCATATCTGCATGTACATTGTTGAAGGATCCCAGGGCTTGTGAAACAAATACCCAGTTCCAGTCATAAGTGGGGGACTAATTGGCACAACGATCTTTCTTGGGGGAGGGGGGTGATGTCTGGAGTACGTATACATACCGGGCAGTGCTGAGCTATGGGGTCACCCTGGCTTGAAATGCTGTTGCCTCTGCTGGGGCCCAGCCCAATGAACTGTAGGGTAAATCATGAGCCTTTTGGCTTTGGACTAATATCATGTACAGGTTGTACTATACATAAGTAGGTACAAAAGTGTTGCTTAAAAGCATGTTTATAGAGTACCTGTGGTAAAACTCATAGCAGTTTCAAAAAAGGTAAAATGTATCAATTTTGGATGAACTAAATTTACTATACACATGTTTATTTCAAGGTTAGTGTTTTCAAACTTGCCTCTTCCTTTTGTGTGCTCAGAGTTGGTGGGGAGGAGGGCAAGGGGGCCACCTGACCCCCTCTCCCCTTCCTCCCTCCCAGATTTTGTTTTCCATGCTGTAGCAGTGGGAGGTGGACAAATTTAAGGCAAACTTTCAATAATTTAGATTTATAACCTTTCCATGTAGAATTGAATTATTGGGGGCTCACCTTGCATTCAGGGTCATCTTTTACATGCGAGTAAATACAGCATTCACTTGACTCTATATATTTGATCAATTATAATTTATACTTATAAAATGTTTCCAGAATTAGGCCTAAAAGTAGAAAGCTAACACTCTTTATCATTTAGCTCTTGTATCTGCTAAACATATTAGTATTTTTGTTGGGGTTTTTTTAGCTGTTTGAGCTTCTGCCACTTGGCCAAGTTTCAGTCATAACACACTGCCCAGATTTGTTAATGGTATCTTGAATTGGGGGTTTGTCATCTCTGTGGGATAGCACAATGTCTCACACAGAAGCCTCCGCCTTAATCAGCCTTCCATTTAATTCCAGTTCACCTACATGTTGATTAGTGAACCTGACTGCTTCCATAATAGCATCTTCAGTTGTGTGTCTGTAGCCATGTAGTTTTAGTGTGTTAACTTGTGTGTAGTACAACTTCTGTTTCCTATGGGCCATACTGTTTACAGCCCTCCCACTGATCGTGACCTATGGGAAAGAGCCTTGATATCTCCTACTTCAGCCAGGGAACTCATGTGAGCTTAGCTTTCAGGGTTCTTCCTTCATTACATTTCTGCAGCAGCTAAGAACTTATTAATGTACCCTGGCTCTGTGGAAGCTTCCTAGAAACACTCTTAAGATGACTAAGCTCTTACATAAAACAAGTTTTATTACCATGAGGAGAGCAGAGAGAAAAAAAGTAGATAGGCCCTAAACTATTGGAACTGCAGGAAAGAACACTTCTAGAGATCAGTGTCTTCTGATTTTTTTTTTTTTGTTTTCTTTTTCCTCCCCGAGTCTTTGGCTGACCCCTCAGCAAGGCAGTATTTGAAATCCAGACCCTTGCATTCAGATTCTCCATAGGCTCTGCTGGTCTTTGAGTTGAATCCTTTGGAAGCGTGTAGTGGGGATTCATTAATGTGCTCTCCACAGAGTCCCAGGGGTGTCATACTCCAGGAAAGAGTGGTATGTAACCAAGCAACCACACCACTTCCTGTTTAAAAGTTGCAGTGTAAATCTTTGCAACAAAACAAAGTGTTAATGTTGGAAGTAAACCCAATTCCCAGAATTTTAGAAAGAAACAAGGGTGTAAGAGAAAGACACAAGGCTGGCATCTGTGAAAGAATGTCGCCAATTGTGATGGTTTTTGTGACACTCATTTCTAATGATAGCAAGAAAGATATCTTGGTACCAGAATATTTGATCTTAAGTGTGTGCGTGTGTGTGTGTTGTTTTTGTTTTTGTTTTGTTTTGTTGTTGTTTTTTCCATGCTAGAGAGCTAAAGAACCCAAATGACCCCTTTTTATACTGTTTTACTCTGTTGCATCTAGGACCAGAAGAGTGTGTGGATGTCCACTGCAATTCTTTGTATTTCAAGGCTGCAGAATTGGGCTCCGAGTGGGAGAAATACCCCTTCAACCTGTCTATCCTTACGAACTTTTATTTCACTTGCATTGTGGTTTTCAGCTGGAAGTATAAATACATAAGGAATTGCAGGCTTGTATTGTATAAGGATTATGAATACACACATTCTTTAGGGGGTATGGGGAGAGATTAGAGTAGAATATTATTTGACTAAACTGTGCAGGGAGGGGTTGGGCAAAAGGATGTCATACTTGAACACAGGCAGGGCAGAGTTGCCCCTCTGTATTTGAACATGTTATACATTCACATTCTGGTCATCTTCTTTCTAGCAATAAATGGCTTTTTAAAACTTTTGTACCCAAGACCACTTTTTATTTTGGATATCATTTAGACACTTGTTCTTGGTGGGGGTAGGGGGGAAAGTATGGAAGCAGAATATTGTCTCACCTCTCCACTGGATTTAGCATAAGCAGGGATGTACAATACTCAGGGAAAACGCACATTTTTTAAACACTTTTTAGATTTAAAAAAACAACAACCCAGACTCTTCAATTCAGATAGTATTCTGTCACTTCAGTAAACTCTCAAGCATCACCTAGCAGCTAGCTTCTTGGGTTTGGCCACAGGGGACCTGCAATTTCACAACAGGACTGTCCTGCGAATAAACAGCTGGCAGAAATTTAAGTGAGCTAGTGGGGGAGTAAAAGGCTTTTTAAGTAGCATCTCTTTTTAACAACACTGAGAGCTGTGTGGTTTACTGGAAATAGCCTTTATTTTAATATAAATCAATCTATTTTTTGTAGTTCAATGCACTAAAACTAGCATGGGTAATATTTTTACCAGCAGTGCAAGCGCTAATTTTTAAGATTGTGTATATGCCAAGGCAGTTAACTATCATACCTGTTTTTATTTAGTAGTAGAAAACTATTTGAACTTGAACCTCTCTGTGACTGGGAAGCTGCTCCTTAGAGTCTCTTATCCTTTTCTGCTTGAGGATGTCATACGCTTCAGGAAAACCTTCCCAGATTATAGCTTTTTTTTTCTTAATTGTATGCTTTTGGAAATAGTAGTGTTGTTATATCACAAGCAGTACTGAATTCTCATAGCTGCAGATAATCCTTTCCTGAGCTGCTATTTTCTTGCTGTTGTTTGTTTGTTATTCCCTGTAGGTTTGGTTGCTGCTTTTACTGCTTTCTGACTAATTGTTGAGATTTTACTAGTAAACAAAAAACAGCCCTTTGAATACAATGTTAACTTATTCTGCCATTGAGAAGCCAATATATCACATTTCCTGTAAAATGCTAGCTATTAAAATGTTTGGTTACTCTATAGCATCCTTTTTATGTGCTCGGTTATTCTTATGATCATAATAATTTATGCTTATTGGATTAATGCTGATTGTCTCCGAAGAATAAATCGGAAGCTTTTTTTACCTTTCTAAAACCTTGGCTTAAATCCAGCTCCAGCATAAATTGGAGCTAAACTATAATATTTTTTTAAAAGCCTTTAATTCAACTTAGTACATTTCAGCCTTTCTTAAAAGGGTGATATAAAGACAACATGCTCAGGATGTTCCAAGCTTTGAAACAGTCATTGCTAAAGTGCCTTCTCCTTTAATCAGAAATTCAATCCAATTCCTGTGCAAGTAACAAAATCTGTGGAGCAATCTGGATAACCTAGTGAAATTAGTGCCTTTTAACTTGGTGTGTGCATTAACAACATGTAATTGAAGCATGTACTAAAATGTAAATATATTAAAAAGCAGACTGAAGCCATTGCTTATAATGATTGTTCATCAGCCAGAGAGGCATGTAGCCATTGAAGAAAAGGTTTATTTGCTTTTAATGAAATAATGCTTCCAAAACATGGAAGCAATATTGCATATGAGACCAGGCCTGCTAGCACTCAGGTGATGGATTCTGTGACTCTTGCTGTTGTGTAATGCTTTAAAAATAATACTTGTAATTCCCCACCCCCTGTCTCTTTTAGATAAATGTTCGAGTTACCACTGTGGACGCAGAGCTGGAGTTTGCCATCCAGCCTAACACCACAGGCAAGCAGCTGTTTGACCAGGTCAGTAAGAAGTTGCGTACCTATTTGTTTTTGTCTTTTTCTTGCTTTTCTTAAAAATCCAATATTCAGCTGTGCTTCTGTTGCAAGTTCCCCTTTGTGTCAGGAACCAAGTCTTTTTTTTGTTTTGTCAGAGCTTTGTACAGTGGGAACCTGATCTTGATTGGATACTTTGGACTCTGAGGCAATATATACGAAGTAGTAATAAACGGAGATTCTTGTAGGCATTTGGCCCCTGCTTTTCATATAATTTATCAGATAAATTGCCTGCCTGTTTGAATATCCGCTCTTGCATTTGCAGCTGCCAGTAGTTGCCTTATTTTTGTCCCACAGAGACTCTTCCTGGGTCAAACTTCCAGTGTAGTAACAGAGTACACAGCCAGCTCCTAATAAACATGAATTATAATCATAATGGCTAGAATTCAGTACAGTTGCTGTCACGTTGTACCAGTTTAATGAGTTATTGTACGTAGCATTCTTTCTCAGAGAAGCAAACTGTTCAACCTCTCTCCCTGCTCTGAGCATACAACAGGGAAGAAGAGAAAATAGGCCTTCAGAATGAAGTGGCTGTGGCAGTGATTTACATCCCAAAGGATAGGGGAGATTGATTCGTGCTCTCCAGGATTTATGTTCTGGAAATGAGTGCTATATTAATTGGTGCATAGTCACTGCTGGGCGCCTGAATCTTTAATTCCCCCCTAAGGCTGGGTACAGACATTCGAAAAGCCCAAGACCGAGTAAATCTAAGTTACACAATTTTCTGTAAGTGGTGTAGTTTAGATCAGTAGTGAACAGAGCACACATTTGGCGGGGGAATGGGGGGGACTGGAAATCTTAGAGCAGCTTCTGCTATTTTTAAACCAGTCTGTGCGCCAAACTTCTGTTTTTGTTACGGGTATAGACCAGTTTCCAATTGCTTATACCAGTAAAAGTCCCTGGCCTAAAGGGTTAGTTACTTAACCCTGGTGGCAGAGATGTGGTAGACTATGACAGAAGTGTTTTCCCTCTGTTTAATTCCTTCTTTTTTGTGAAAAATGGGCTATTTTAAACTCATTTTATCTGGATAATGCCTTACTTTTTAAGCTAATAACATTTCTGTAGACTTCTTGGTGTCCAAATTTGAGCTATTTTTCTTAATTATTTTTGGTGAGTGTGGTTGTGTTGAACTTGGTAAAATTCTTCCCTAAAGTATACTTACTAAATATCTAGGTGATGATATAAGGATTATGTCCTTAAAAGAAGGAAGAATTTCTTAACCGAATATGTAGAATTCCACTGTGTAGCTTTTTTAAAATACATAAGCTAAACTTTTTTGCACAGGAAGCTATAGTACTACTCTGCACTTCTGTCATAACACCCTTTGAATGGAGTCTTGGAGCGCTTGACAAAGGCAGCTCCCCATTCTTTGGTGATGTGGGAAACTGAGGTCCAGAGGTGGTGACTTGACAAAGATGTTGGTGGGTTTGGGGCCATGTAGTGGAAAAGTCAGGAGATCTGTGCACTGATTTGAAGCAGTTTTTTATAAGGCATGCTGACTCATTCGTGCCTCATCAGACAAAGCAAAGAAGCTGGCGTTCCAAGCCATGGGGCTGAAGGACATGAGCAGCCAAACCGTGTCCCCTGCTCTGGCTCTGAGGATCTTCTTAAGGAAGCCTTCAGCTCTTCGTGCGCTGCCATGGGACAGAAAGTGGAGCTGCTAAATTGCAGAATGAGGAAATGGAAGGGGTGACTAGATTGAGGCAAACAACATTTTGTAAACTTTTGTCTGTGTCTTTGGACTCTTTCTGCACAGAGAAAATGCACAACATGATTTTTGTACAACAGAAATAGACCTGGTTTAGCCTAACTTATTCAAGGCCTGCTTCTCACAAGACCCTCATCATTGACCTAGCTGTTTGGAGGACTAAATGTGTGTAAAGAAGGCAAGTTTTAATAGATTTTTTTTTTTTTTAACAAAACACTGAGAAACAGTTTTCTCTTCCCATCTCCTACTAGCTTTGTTAACAAAGACTGTGTAATCTCTAAGGTCAAGTAGGGAGAGTTGGCTAAAGAGTGTTTCTCCTTTTGTACCAGATTTTGACAACACGCTTCGAGTGAGGTACCAGGGAGAGAGGGTTAGAGCAATAGGATCTGTTGGGAATGATGGAGATGCTTCTTGACAATTCTTTTTCTCCTAGAAAGGAGAACAAACTGCAGGAAGAAGAGGGGGAAGGAGTTTTGTTCTGGGGATTTGTTTGGCCTGAATTCCAGTTGCTGCAGTACTTGAACATTAACAAACAAAACTTGCAAATCCAGATGTTATTGTAGGAGCTCACAGCTTTAATTCTGTGTTGTTTCTGATATATTGATAGCTGGTGCATCAAGGCTCCAATACAACTATGTTTAATTGAAGCAGGATTTAGTTATGTCTTTCTGTTCACTGGTGGCTACCTATAGGCCTGGCTTAAACTTTTTTTTCTAAACTTCACACCCTCCCACCTCCACGCATGATGGAAGCACTTGAGGTGAGTGTGTAGTGGTAATTCATGTGCCTGCAGAGGTGCCTTGAAGTATGTGATCTTTAGGAACCAAAACCCCTTTTGCCTTTGACTTTTTTCAGGTGAGGCTTAGGACCCCAACACCCATTAAGTTCTCTTGAACATGACCTGCAAACTTTTACTGCTGCTCACTATAGTTAAGTAACACGCTTTAGTTGGAAAACTTGTATTTGAGGGTCTCTCTCAAATATCTCTTTCCCTGGCTCTAGCCTCCTCTTTAATCCTTAAAATTCAGCAAGGAAGAATTGTTTTTGTCCTAAATGTAAAGCTAAGGGTTTTCATTAATAGCAAAAGAATTCTGAGGGTTTTTTCCTCCTCAGCTTAACTCTGAAGTGGGAAATATTTGGAGATTTGACTTAAACAACACAAGGAAAAGAGCTGTGTTTTCCAGCCAGTGTTTTAATAATAGTTTGCCCCCCGCCCTCATAAGGACTTTTCTGTTCCCATCTCCACCCTCACCCTCACTCACTCCTTACAGATTTTAACCATTAACTACATGATGGGGGAGGAAATCAAAATATTTGGGAGGTGATAACATGGATGTACTGCAGAACTGACACATTTTACTCTGAATATCTTTTAAATCGGGGCTTTTGACCACATAGACCAAATGAGTGGCCTAGGGATGGTCCACAGGTCAAATTGGACCCTGGGGCCTAGCATTACCTTCCCTCCTGTCCCCATGTGCAGGGATTGGGTCTTAGGGGTCCAGCCTTCCCCCTGCCGCCCCCAGCCCTTTGTGCTGGATTCAGGCACTCAGTACAACATTTAGGGCCTGCTTCCCCTCCTTTCTAGAAATATGGCAGTGTGGGAGCAGTACCATCACTCCCCCACTTCACATTCCAGGGCTGGATGACATAGCACCATGGGCCAAATCTGGCTCATGGGCCAGGGGTTGAGTACTTCTATCTTAAATTTATACCCTCCCAGGGTTCTGTACCTGTGACTAGTCTATCACCAATTAAAAGAGCAAGAGCTGGGGATCTGATTAGAAACCACTTTAACTTCAGGGCTGCTGGTATAGAGGAATGATAGTTACTGCTATTGATAAAGCTAGTACTTTATTAAAATGATTTACTTATTGAATTTAAGTGCATGGGGTGTGTGTGGGGGGGGGGTTTAAATTTGAAACTGGTCTTTATTCTAAGACTCCAACTCCTCAGTAGTTTCTTACGATGAAGTATCTTAGAAATGGAACAGAAACCTCTGCCTTTTTAGAATAAAGCTGAACATCAGTACCAACAACCAACCATAATGCATAATCTCTTGTGAAAGGGAACCACAAGGCATGGTGTTTTTTTCAAAAACTGTGTGTGTGAAAATAATAAAGCCACTAGATCCTGGAAGAGAAGCAGCGTCTGGAAAGATTATTTTGATGTGGTGGCCTTGATAGCAAAAGAGAAGATTTTTTTTGAAGACCCAGGAGGTCCCTTTCACTCCCATATTCCTCTGATGCACCATATACTTTCTGATGAATATTGTAAATTGGGTATCTATATTACTAAGCTTGGATTTCAGCTGATCGGAGATGATACCTGTAGGCCTGCATCAGACTAAAACAGAAAGCCAGAAGCAATATTAAATGCTCATGCTGAGCTGCCCTAAGAAGATGACTCATTTGTTACTAGCCTGTTTGTCAGGTTTTTTTTCCATCTAACCTGACCTTATCCCTTGCTATAAGTCAGGTTAAGGCAGGCTGGATAAAAATCAACAATTTTTTTTTTTTATTAAATTGGATTTTTTATTTAATCTTCTTTTAAAGCATCTTTAAAACATTAAAAATAAATCCTATATAAAGATGGCTTTAATTCTTGTTAAAGATCAAAGATATCATCATGGAATAAGGATTAACTTCTAATTGTATGCTATTTGAGATCATATATTCATGTAACATTTTTAGAAACGTTTTTATAAATGTCACAACAGGCCATGAACTATGTTAAAAACCCAAATTTATAGGGTTTCCAGAGGCTTCTCTGTAGATTAGTAAAGATTATAGAAAACCACTCTACCCGATGGGACTCGTTGCTCATTAAGCATCTCTGTGATGCTTAGTTTCAGTTATCAGACTGGATTTGTCTCCAGAGAGAGGATCCTTGTTAACAGCACTATATGGAAATGAGAGAGAACAGACCTGATTAACCACCCATCAGCGCTACTGGCAAGTTTTATGTAGACAGTCAAGCCCTTACCTTTCTCTAAAAGTACAAAGTTTCAAGAAGCTAAAGGATGTCAAAGAACAAGAATGCACTTTTTGTAGAAACCAACGATAAACCAAGGCTTCCTGACGAGTGATTTAAATCAAGTGGATTGAAATCATATCCACCCTGGGTTAAGGACTTGTCTGCTTGAGGAAACTAACCAAAGTAAGTTATAGCAGAAACCCTTTATAGCTATGTCAGTTATCTTTCCCATGAAGGCAAGGTTGAATACATCTGTTACCCTCTTTCTAAGATGTATTTGTAAGTAGTGGAATAAGATTGAAATCTACATGAATGGGTGCTGCATTTTGAGTTCATAGCCTAGCAAACAGCCTTTCACACAGTAACTTTGCTGATTTATTGTCAAAGGTAGACTTAAAGTTTTATTTCACTGCAGCTATCCTGCTGACCTTTGGCTTCATTTCATGCAGAATTTAAATCTAAAAAGAAGACCAATAGTTAGGCTTGTAAATGTTCTAGCCCTTTTCCTCTTGAATTGGACACATTCAGATTCTTCCCCATTGTAAGAGCTTCAGAGCACTTTCTGTGGTTTCTTAGAACACCCAAAAAATAGATCTACTGCTTCATAGGAATTTGCAAAGTAATTTATGGGTATTTCTGGTGAAAGAGTTGCATGCACAGTTTCTGATGGTACCTTTTGGTTTAGCAACACCTTGATTGAGAGCCACTGCCTTAACTCACCAGCCAGTTGTTCAAAGTAAGCAAACTTCAGAGCTGTTTGTCTATTTTGTGTTCTGCAAATCCAGCGACCAGTTAACCAGAGTTTGATGTCCACCCAAGCTGATGGATCACCCATCTATCCAAATATTAAATTTGGTAATGCAGCAAACAAATAAAGGGGAAATATGCTTTTATACAGCTATATAGCATATCTGCTTGCTGCTCTTTCTTGCATCCTGGAACTTCTTAAGCACTTCTGAAAAGTGTGGATATAGGTTAATTCTGTGTCTGTGATTTGTTTTTATAAACAAGCGTGCACACAAGCGACAGTGTGTATTCTAACTTTCTCATGATAGTATAAATATGAAAGTGGAACATGGAGTTAAACATTCAGGAATTTCCAAAGCTAAAAGAGCAGCATTCACCTAGTCTGTCATCCATTTACCCGGTGATCTGTAGAGAGAAACTATAAATATTGTATGCTGTCCGTCAAAGTGGTTTCTTAAAGAAATTATACTGTGCTTTTATACAGTTAACCTTCTTTGAAAATGCTTAATGACTTAAGGTCTTGCTACTGTGAGCTAGTGTTGCTAGAGAGTAGATTCAGCTATATCTCTTATTTAACATGATTTAACTCAAACTGTCCTCAGTACAATTACGGGTTTAAGTCTCTCTTTCTCGCAAAACATGAGCCAAATCCTGATTGCTTTCCTCATTTGGGGGGGTATTCCCCCTTTGCTAGGTGTCCTATGAGACCATTCAGATTACTGACAGCAAAATAAGACCTTTTACTTTAATAATGCAGGTATGAATAGCTATAGTATTGTTCCTGCTTGCTTTCCTCCTTTGCCAACGAGTATGTTGCTGTTACTTGTCCATTTTCAATTTGTACGAGCACCCCTTCTCCACCTAGCCGAGTAGAACACATAAGAGATTTTTGGAATGTGTTGCTTCAATATCCTTTACATTTTCTATTGTGGCCATGGGGAAATTTTTGTTTCTAAAATCTTTTATGGTAAAGCACAGCATGCAACAGCATACAAATTTTGACACTGGTTTTTAAGTGGTATTCACTCCAAGCATTTAAAAATCATTAGCTTTTAAAAATAGTGAGATTAGAAAACGCTTAAGGGCTTCTTTTTCTTTGTGTATTGGAGACTTCAGGAGTCGCGCTCTTTCAACTTTTTTTCTCCTCTGCACTCATGTGCACTGGAAACTTAATATTTTTATTTTATAAATGAATATTGAGAATCCCAGATGCCCTAGCTCCTGAATTCAGAGTTTTAAAGAACTTCATTGATATCACAAGAGTTGCTAATGCTGGGCAAGTATTTGAAGATATTGCCATTTGCTCCCTCATAGAATATTTAGAGTAAAGCTCAGTTTCTCCCTGTGTTCATTAATGCATTTTCCAGGGTCATGTGCATTTCTATATGTTGTTGATTAGCAACAGGCAATCTGGTGGCTGCTGAAGCAGTAATGCCCATGGAAAATGCTGGTTAAGATGGTCTTAATCCTCGCATGCCATTGACAACTAGTTTATTGATGAGTACTGAATTCAAAGAAACCCATGCTACTAGCTAGCTAAGGGTTCTGAATAAGTGGTATTTGCACTCGGGAACAGGACATTTACACAGGTGTGTGGCTGTCCTAAATGCATGCAGTTAGGGCACTGAAATTCCTTTCCTCAACCAAGAAGTAGCACCATAACCCAAGGGGATGAAAAGGATCCCCATCTAAATTGTAAAACTGCTCATAGGACATTCAGTATCACTCTGTTAGCCTGAGAAACCAGCTAGTCTGCAATTCTGATGCTCAAACAGCAGGCTGAAATCCATTGAAAACCACTGTAGGTAAAGCACACATTTCTGTCAGTTGTTTCTGCGCGCACACAACTTGAGGATTGAAACATGTAGCTTAGCTTCTTTATTGCTAAGGCTTCAGGCTGAGAGGTGAAATTTAAGTAGACTGGGTCAGCAGACAAGGGCTGCAGGTAGACAGCTTTGAAGGCTGCACCCTTGGGTAGGTGAAGTAAAGGGATGCCTCTTAAAACATAATACAGATATGGAGTTCAGGCTACTCACAGGCTGAGACCATGCTTGGAGGGACAAATGAAACTTCACAGCCATGTCAACTGGGTGTTTTTTTTGTTTTTTTTTCCCCTCTCTTGCAGGTGGTGAAAACGATAGGCCTGCGTGAAGTCTGGTACTTTGGTCTTCAGTATGAGGACAACAAAGGATTTCAGACTTGGCTGAAACTTGATAAAAAGGTAATTGAGATTCAGGGTTAACTGATGAATGGAGGTTAAAGTTTGGTATGGGATCCCTGCTGTGCTATCAGCTGCTGATGTTGCAATCCCATAATACTATTAATAATTCTTTAACCTTCAATAGCTATAAATTTTCTGGTGTGCGTTTTTTTTTTTATGGGTCACTTGAGGTTCACAGGACTACTGTGAGCCATGCTCAGACGAACAGAAGGCTTGCTACTGCTCCCAGGATAACTGTAGTGGCTGTATAAAGGCAGCAGTCACTCTGCTGGAGCACACCTTGAGTCTAACCAGTGTGACATCATTGCTTTTCACAGAATAACCAGCTATTGTGTTTATTTCGGCTAGTGGAACCTGTTGGCATCTGTTGCTTAATCTTCTGTGCTTGTGTAGGATCAGTTGCTAGGCTTGTTGGAATGAACAGTTTGTTTCCAAGTTAGCCTATTCCATGCTGTAATTGAACTACTTAATAACATTCTCTTATTCATGAGTATGAAATCTGTTAATGGAATGCACTACATCTTGCGGATATACCCTCGTCGGAAGTATCTGGTGCTGGTCATTGTCAAAAACTACACAGGATCGAATAGACCCTTGATCTGATCCATTACAGCAGTTTCTTTGCTCCACGATGCAGAGCTTGCTACAGAAATCTCAGCTTCTAGTTAACGGTGACTTCAGTAACTGCTTGCCTGGAAAAATAATTCAGAAGGCATTGTATTTTTGCATATTTTATGCTATTTAGCAGCTCAAAGCAAGGAGAGGGAGCAGTGTGTAATCAGCTAGTTGCTTCATGTGGAACTGTAAATGGTACATGAACAACCTCTGCTTGTTTCTTAAAATACAAAGGGGCTCTACATTTTTCCAGTCTAACAAAACTGACTGATATACATAATCCACTTAGATATATTTGTGCCACCTATAGAAATTGTGGGGAGTCCTGGAAGTGCACTGTCTCTTTGCAATTTAAAGAGGGTTGCTTGAAGAAGAACTGTAGGTTAAAACTTGTTTCTTGTGGGCCCTGATCTTAGTGTGCACCACAAATTCCAGTGCCCCTACATGTACCTATGGCTTTAGAAGAGCCCCTATGCTAACAGGGCAAGCCGTGGGCTGTAGCCAGTTGCATTCTGAAATGAATTCTCCTGAACTAGAATGCTCTCCAGATATACACTATAAAAGAAACTAAACCATTTTCCACATAAAAAACTTATGTCATTATCCATTAATACATGCTCAAGAGTTGTGGTCGTCTTCTCTAATCTGTTCAGGTCTCCGCTCAGGAAGTCAGGAAAGAAAGCCCCCTCCAGTTCAGATTCCGTGCCAAGTTCTTCCCTGAGGATGTCTCTGAGGAGCTGATCCAGGACATCACCCAGAAGCTCTTCTTTCTGCAAGTGAAGGAAGGGATCCTCAGTGATGAGATCTACTGCCCACCTGAAACGGCAGTTCTGCTCGGCTCCTATGCCGTACAGGCCAAATTTGGAGACTACAATAAGGATGTGCACAAGCCTGGATACCTCAACTCGGAACGCCTTATCCCCCAACGGTGAGCAAAAACTTCATAAAGTAGTTAAGCAGCATTAAGTCCTCTGCTCTTTTCTGGTTATTAAATAACATGTGGTCTGATCAAAAGATGCAGTGCTTCAACAATAACACTGCATTTCTTCTCTATCTAACCCAGATCACATGTGCCTGCCTGGAGAGTGCTTTCTGCCTCCATGCAGTGGGTAAGGGTGCATTCTTACTCTGAGGGCTCACCTTTTTCCTCTGAGTGCCTTCTTGGCACTGCCTGTGCTGGCAATGATTGTGGTGGCAGATGTTAATGCAAGCATTTTGGCTTTGAGTAAGGAAGAACAGGCTACTGTTAGAACCTCCTGTCCCTGGAGAATTTTGGCTTGCATGCCATAAATTTTAAAATTGAAGCTGTAGACCAGGGGTGAGCAATTTATTTGGGCTGGAGGGCCACTTAAGGAGGTTTGATGAGCTGTTGCAGGCTGACTCAGCACCCCCCCACCCCCCGTGCTCTGCTGTGACGATGGATCAGCACCCCTTGCTTGCCCTGCAACAGCTCACCAAACCTCCCTAAGACAAGGATGGGCAACTATTTTGGCTGGCTCTCATGCCCTCCCCCTGAACCCAGAACCTGCTGACTGCATCCACCCAATGCACTGGAAGCAACCCCGGATGGGTGCCAGAGTCGATTGTGGATGCAGATGGTAGATTCCAGGTGGGACTGTGGCATCCACTTAAGTCCACAGTGGATACCACTGCATCAGCACTGGACAGATGCAGTCCTGCCCACCTAGCACAGTAGAATCGGTTCCACCCACCTGGCACCACATGGCAGCCAGAACTGCTGGCTGCCCATGGGCTGGATACAATCAGTTGGTGGGCTGGATTCAGCCCACGAGCTCTATTTTGCCCACTGCTGCTCTAGATTATGGGGCTGGAAGGCAGCTCAAATTGCTATCTACCACATTCCCCTGCACTGAGACAGGGAAAATGCACACCCTGATACCTTATCTCACCTGTTCCTGAACATCCTGGTGTGTGGTACCAATTTAAAAATAAATTTATCTTTCTGTTTTGCTAACTGATATTACAGTGGCAGACAGTTTTCTTTCCGTAAGCTGGCCTGCTTAGGCAAGCAGTTGGCATCTTCTGCTTCTGTGTTTCCTTGTGAAATAATTTTATGGCTTCGGTCAATGACAGCCAAGAGTTCTTGCAGGAAAGAAGTGGGCGCTTTCATCTGTGTTGTTACTTTTTCTAATCCAGTTCTCCAGGATCATGGAGAAGTGTGCAGGTCTTTTTTTTTTTTCTTGTGGGGAGGGGTGAGAGGACAGGAGCTAAGGCTTTTAATGAGGTTGATCTCTGCAAAATACAGGTGAGTTTCCTCTGGAGGCATGTAAGCCTTTTTTGGTCATGGTGATGCTTCTGAAAAGCTACAGAAGTAATCTTTAAACAGGCTTTACCTGCAGACCTTGAGGTAAAATCTTGAAGACAAAAATATGAATACAGATCTGAAGCAAATAGTGCAAATCAGCATAAGTGTCAGAATAAGGAACTTAATGCTTCTATTTCCTTTCTGTGCATTAGTGTGATGGACCAGCACAAGCTTTCCAGAGATCAGTGGGAAGAGCGGATCCAGGTCTGGCATTCTGAACACGGTGGAATGCTCAAGTGAGTTCTTACATCTAGGTCCCCCCCCGTTTCCTTAAGTTTGCTTTTTTTATGATGCATCCTTTTTTGTTTGTTTTTAATGGGCTTATAAGGTGATTGGCTTTGGAAATATGTGACTAACTTTTTTTTCCTGTCCAATATTGAATAAAATGCAAAAATTCAACAGAATGGGAAACGAATTTATAAAGTAGAATGAATTTTGCAGCCAGAAACAAATGGCTGTCCTGTCAGACTAACAAATCTGTAGCTAGGTACCAGGTATAGACTGCTTACATCATGAGAATCGAACAAGAGACTAGAACGTTTATGAGTTGTGATATCAATGCTGCCATGTATAGGGAAGACCCCTGTGAACTATGGATTGTCTAGTGTAGTGTCCTTGTAACCATGATGGTCTAGGGGACATTTGAGGAAGCAAGATTTGTTTGGTAATATAGTTTCGTAGTTTCTAGGGTTGGAAGGGACCTGAGCAGATCGAGTCCAACCCCCTGCCACGGCAGGAAAGAGTACTGGGGTCAAACGACCCCAGCAAGGTGTACATCTAGACTCCTCTTAAAGACCCCCAGGGTAGGAACCAGCACCATTTCTCTCATCTTTTTTCATATTATTTTTCTTTTATTACAACTATATAGTTGGGAGAGATTATTTAGACAAGCTTCTGGCCACAAAATGCCCTTTCCCAGGTCAGAGAAACTTTGGAGACATTTGCTTTTGAAAGCTAACCCAAGCTTGCTTTCAAACACAGTGGATTTGGACTGGTGTAGGAAAGTCAACTGCTTCACTCTTCCCATTATCTACATGTTGTTTTCTCTGCCCCGCACCATGATAGAAAAATGTTTCTAAGGTCCCCTGCCTATGATGTCCTTGTTTAGGGATTGCTATAATTATACAGTTGTAACACAGTGATTCTCAACTGGGGTGATGTGTCTGCTGTACAGCTACACTGGGAAGGGCTGTGGCTTATGTACATTCTCCTGCCTCATTAGGGTTCTCAGATCGGCCCAAAGCAGGCTGGTGAGGTGCCTTGTGCTGCAGCCTTTTCCATTCCAACTGTGCACAAAGAGCATAGGGCACTCTTAACTAGCCACAGTGGTGGGCAGCAGAAACACCCTGGTTGAGAATCGTGAGGAAAGCTGAGGCAGCACAACAGAGGTTCTCACCCAGGGTCATGCCAAATTTGGAAAAGCTGGGAGGTACTCTGATTCTAAAAAGGTCGAGAGACTGATATAGAGTCTGTGTTCAGTAACAAGGTATAATACTTGTGGGGACTTCTCCCAGTATTCACAAGTGTCAGAACAGGAGTTAGGAGCAAACTTCCTGCCCCAGAAGGGAAGCTGCTTGTTATGTCCAGGGACTTTGGCTGATGCGTTGTTACATTTTCATGTATTTTTACATCTGTTTTCCCTCCCCTCCACTCAACCAGAGAGGATGCCATGCTAGAATATCTGAAGATTGCTCAGGACTTGGAGATGTATGGGATCAACTACTTTGAGATCAAGAATAAGAAAGGAACTGAGCTCTGGCTGGGAGTAGATGCACTGGGGCTGAACATTTATGAGAAGGAAGACAAGTAAGTTGTGTGCGCATCTGGTCCCTCTCCAGCAGGAAGAATTGATGCTGGAGCCAAGCCATGTCTCACCCATAGTAAGCATAAAGCTTAGTGATGTCCTGATGAGCATACTTTGGAAGACAACAGGGCAGGCTGGGACTCATGCCTGGTGTTAATTTGCCTCTGCCTTCCATTGCAGTTTGACCTGCTTTCCCCTTATGGGCTCTCCACCAGCACATTTGAGCAACTTGCAATGTATGTGGAGGCAGACAAGTGAATTGCATCACAGAACTTGCCCACAAGCTTTACCCATTGCTGTCAGCTTCCATTTTTTTTCCAACAGGACTGTAGAGTTGAAGTATAAAGAGTTTTTGTCTAGGAAAATAACAATATTTTTTTTTCCCCTAAATTCATCTTATCAAGCAATACAATGATGTATGCAGTGTAAGAACTTGCTAGATGAGGGGCCTGATCTTTAAAGATGTTCAAAGCACTGAGCTCCCATCTTGCGTTTATGGGAACGATGGCTATGTCTACTAACCACCCCACTCCTAAGAAAAGCAGGTTCATGGGTAGGCACAATAAGAGCCTAGGACCAGATTTTTAAAAAGATTTATGCATGCAGCAATCTATATGTTAGTTATAAATGCAAGTACAGTTTACCATTAGGGGACTGCAAGCTTTAATAGGAATAAGCATTAAAAAAAATGGATTCTGGTTGTATATCCTTGCACTCTGCCAAGTCCTAGAGAATGAAGGACAAGCTCAAAGAGAGGGTTGGGAGTGGAAGTGAAATAAGAGGACTCTCCTTTAAAGGAAGGATGACAGTATCAAGACCTTAAAGAAGCTCCCAGTCTTGGTTTCATGTGTCATAATACTAGAGAGGGATTTGCACCCAGGTGTTCATGGGTTGGAGAGTGACTGGGTCTCAAATGAGTTAAATTTTAATTTCACATTAATTGGAGTGGTTTGAAGTTCCTGTTAAGGCTGCAGAGGAGGAAAATGCCTTTCTCTTTGCAATGCTAATGTGAGCTATCACCCAGAAAACAAGGAGTGTCCCATGAGGTATTACATGAGTGAAACTGCCTTTCTTTCAGTCTTGAATGACTGGTCTTGCTTTGTAACCATGGTCACACAAACAGGTTTTTCAAGCTGGATAAACAGACTGAATATAGCCTTCACCTTTGAAGGAGAACTATGGAAAAAGTTTGCAAAACAAATGTTGGGCCAATTCACTTGTTTTGGCCACAGCTTTTTTTGCTACTATGCACGTAGGTCTTTTGAACAGAATGTCAGGACTGGGAGGAGATCAATTAACACACAAATTGGGATGGAGATGAGGGTGGGGAGAGTTTTCAGGAGATTCTATATGCTGCTGTGAAAAAATATAATTGATTTTTAGATAGGGGCAGGAGTATGTACTACAAAGTGGGTTTCAGTTCCCCAATCCACTAGGGGTTCTCTGACAGTATTTTTAAATCGAGGTAGAAAAAGATTATGCAGTAGTACAGTTAGAACTTGTTTTATTCAACCAAGTATCACTGCCTCCTGAAATCCAGTGCATTCTTGCACGCTTGTCTTGGAATATTCATGGAAGCCAGTGTGAAAGACTAGAGCAGTTCTTGCCAAATCATGACCAAGGCAGATCACTTTTTTTTATATTACTTTTAAACTCTGTAAATCTAATAATAAGGAATAAAGATTAAGAAGGGCAAATTTTTAACAGAGATTCTGTTTTGTTTTTGCTTTGGTGTAAGTGGGCTCAGTGCTTCAAGTATGCTGTGCCAGATAGCAGCTTCCTCCCTTTGATAGATGAATTGAAGGAATTTAGTTAAAATTGCAATCTCTTTTTCTCTGAGCCTTTCTCTTTCTCTTTGTACAGCTCCTCTAGATTTTCTTAAAGTAAAGCTCTAGTAAGCAGCTGGAATAATTTAATTTAACTAATCAAATACTGAATATTTTTATAGTACATCAAACATGTCTTCAAACTAATTCTTGGAAGTACTAGTTCTTGGAAGTGTGTAAAGCTGTTGCCCACCCTGTTCACAGTGGACCAGTGAAGTTTTTCCTCACCCCCCCCCCCCCACATCCCTTCCCCTTTTTAGAGGGTGTGCTTTCCTGTCTTAGAGCAGTAAGCTGATTCCTTCACTCTCTCTTTGCTTTACTAAATTTTCAGTGGCAATAGTTTAACTTCTCGATAGTTTTAAGTCTTAAATACCATTTTAATCATTAGTGACTAAAGAGAACTTATTTTCCACTGTCTTGTAGTTATTGCTGGAAGGACATTTAGAAAGTTAACTCTGACTCATTTAACCTTTCCAAAGAGTAAATTGAAGGCAATGTTTAAAAGTTCCACCATGTATGTTAAAAACAAATGCATGAGCCCCTGCAGTATCCCAATAGTATTTTTGTAGTGTCAAGAAGGTTAGAAAACTCTCTATTTGAAATGATCTGGAGACCAAGTAGATGCAGTATTAACACTTGATATTTTTTTTTTTTCTTCTCTGAGTTTGGATAAACGAGATGCAAAAAGAAGCTGACAAAAATAGGGAAATGTCAAGAAAAAGAATGTTCTCTGCTTTAATCATCCGGGGTCTTTTTGGTTTGTTTAAAACATGAGATCACTTTGCCTTGAAGGAAAGGTTCATCCTCCAGTGAGAGAATTTGCGCAAGTGTTAGGTGTGAGGCCAGAACCTCAATATAAAATTCTGTGCAATTTGTGGGCAAATCTGCCCATACTGCTTGTGGATAAGGACAGGACAGAACTTTTTCTCCAGACTTGCAAGTAATCTGGGGGAGGGAGAGGGGCTCAGGGTGTCAGCTTTTCTGAACTGTGGATACACTTCTATGACAGTAGGGAAGTATGATTGCAGCATGGAAAGGTACACGCAGATTTCTCTTCTTGCCAGCTGGAGTAAAGCTAAAGGCACAGCAGAAGGATTTCAGTACAGGTCCACTGCATCTCTAGCTGCCCCACAGCAGTAAAGTAAAATAGAATTAGCTATGCTTCTCCATATTTCAACCTGCTCTCACATTTCCTGACTTGTAGTCGAGGCCTACCCTGTGTCAACCATGCTGTGGCTTTAGCCCCAGGATCAAAACAGCTTAACTTGAAGCAAGTGCTTAATAGGATTTAGGTACCTACTTAAGTATTGTCTTTAATGTAGGCCTTTAAGGGGTACAAATGTTTCATTGTTTTAGCCAGAGAATAATGTAAAATGACTTAATACCCCCACTTGACAGTATTTTTAATAATAATTTGAAGCTATTTGTACATCAGTGTACACAAACAATTTTAAAAACAAAATAAAAATAACTTTAGTGCCTGGATTTAAGCTTCTAAGTCTGTAATTAAGCACCTAACAAAGTGGTTTGGTGTCCAAAGGACCTGAGTATTCCAGCAGGCCTTGCTGAAGTCAGCTGACGCTGTGTTGGACTCGGTGTTTCTAAAATTAAAGCTGTTTCCTCTTATTTCTGCACTTAAGAGCCACAGTTATCACAAATGTGGCCCCTATAAATTAGAAAAGAAAGGCCTGCTGGAATAAGGAATGCTATAGGTATTGGGAGGGGATGGAAATGGTCTTTCTACTGTTTCCTGTTACGTTTTGAAGAACAAGCCGCATTCATTTTAGGGTATTTGGCTCAGTTAGACTTAACTTTTTGCACTTAGTCCCACGAGTAATTTGTCATAGCTTTAAGCAGCCACCAACATTGGCCTCTCTTAATCTTTTCTTTGTTTGTTTCCAGACTGACCCCAAAGATTGGCTTCCCTTGGAGTGAAATCAGAAACATCTCTTTCAATGACAAAAAGTTTGTTATAAAACCCATTGACAAGAAGGCACCGGTAAGTAGATTCGGAATGAACTCTTGCATATCAAATATAGTTAGTTTCAAATGTTATCTGCATAACTAAAACAGTTCTCATCTCTGTCAGAAATCGCATTGCATTAGGAACAGTATATGGCAGCCACTGAATTTTCATCAGATACTTGTACTTGCAGGAAACTGTTTTTCACGTGTGAATTTTCATCGTGCTGTAGAGTAGACTAAGAGGGTTGGAAACAGGTTTATTAGTGTTTGGACTGAGAAACATAGGTTTGATAAAGATCGTTTTTGCTTTTAAGAAAAGCATTGTGGATTTCATGTTAAAGCAAGTGACCCTGCATGCACTTATAAAAGACACTATTGAAGCACAGCAACACATTGAAAGTCTATCTGTCTTTAGTAAAATTTTTGCTCCTGGGGAGGTGACAGTATATTTTATAACATAATTCATGACCACCAAGAAAACCCTACTCTAAGGCTCATCATTCTGTCAGCGATGGACTTCTCAATAGGAAAGCTTCCTTGTGGTTTCAGGCATGCTTTGTGCTGAGTACAAAATGTTAATCTCCTTTCCACCCACTCTGCAAATTTAAATCTGAATGTATGTATAGTGTGAGCTTACAACAGACTAAGGCAGAAAGCTTCCATTTGAAAACATCAGTTGTATGTCAGTTCCCATTTGGCTTGGGTGCCTTGGTTTCTCTGGGTGCTTTTTTTGTATCCGTGCTTTGGTACAAAAAAACAGAAGTCACATACTCACCCTGAATGTGTTTAGAGACCCCAAATACAAGTAGTAAATCCTTTTCTTTTATTTAGAGTCTTCTGTCCCCATGCCACTGATAGCGAATAGCTTAGGTGAAAGATTTTGTTGTGGCAGTATTCAAAATAACAGGCTACGATGAATGCATTGACGTCCAGCTAGGGTGGGGTTGGGATTCAGTTATACAGTGCATCTGACTTGAATATTGGACAATTGTTGCAAAGGAAAGGGATTCTTGTGTTCCTGTATCCCTTAGATACATAATTGTGACAAACATAGACTGCTATCCATGACTGCAGTGTTTACTCTCTTGGAAGTGGTCATTACCTAGAGAATGGAGGCTGTACCTGCATACAATACCTATAACTGTTTGTGGAAGGGTTTTTAAAAAAAAAAAATCACCATGAACAGAAGCAGGATAGATAACTTGCAGCTGTAAATAGTTTCAGCCTTGCCAAAGACATTGTGATCTTTCTAGTTAAAAACCAAACCAGCCACCTCAGTTGGCTACAAAGACTGCATCCCATGCAGTTGATATGTGCGTAAATTATTTTAGAGGACTTGAAGAAAAACTATCATGGCCAGAAAACTTGCACTGAAGTTTTAAGTTGAGACGGGAGGAACACTTTCTAGTGTAACTTTGTCATGAGCCGGCTACAAAATGGCTGTGGAGTTCTGCACACAGCTAGAACACGCAAAGTGGTGTCTGTAAGTGCACACCTGGTGTTCTCCCAGTCTGAATTCCTCTTTGTATTTAGCTATAGGACACTCCAGGAGGGCATTTCCGAGAGATTAGTGCATTTCCCAGGCGACTTGTTATTCTTGTCGTTATCAACTTGTCCTTATCAGCCTACCAACAGCATGCACTGGTAGAACAGAAATGTAATTTTTTTTAATTGTGTAATCAATGTTTCTAATCTGAAAACCCCTACTAAATTGATAGGGTTTGTTGGACCCTTTCCACCACCGTCCTCCCCCAACAAAAAAAAAAAAGCTGGACTCAGAACTGATCTAGTAAGGTATTGTGCAGATAAAGGATTCTGGGGCTTTGCATATGACCTAAGAGTTCATTTTTTGGAGGGTTCTGCAGTTACCTACAGAATAGAGTGAGTTTATTTTCATGCCACCTTGCTAACAGATTTTATGCTATTCTTTGTTAAGACAGAATAGTCTGTTGTCTTATTAATTCTGCTGGTAGTTGGTGCTGCATGTAACCTGATTCCCAAACTCTTCCTTGTATGCTTGCCTGCTAATGGCTGTCAAAGATAGAATAGCTCAAAATTCTTAGAATGGATTGGCTGTTTGAAATGCATGAGGAGGAAAGGACAATAGGGACAGATATATCTCTCAAAACCTGGTAGAAACCTGGTCTCTCTTAAATAAGTGGCTCTTGGCTTGGTGAAAGAATGAGAATCCCCTCCTTTTTTGCGTGCCCCCCCTCCTTCCCCCCAATCCTTCGCACGCGCCCCCCCTCCTTCCCCCACAATCCACTCTGTCCCAGAGAAGGGAATAAAGGTGTTCCTCCCTAGTCTACCCCTTCATCCAGTTTGGAGGCCTGTGTGAGAACTTGATGGTGCCTTCCCTCCATGGCAGCTTCAAGAACAGCCATGGTCTCAGTTTTCTCAAAGCTGTGGTTCTGTTAGCGCACAGCTCCACTTTTTCTGCATTCTGTATTTTGCCACTATGTAGAAGCACCATTCCTTTTACCCAGTCAATGTGAGTAAAAAAAATAGTAGCCACAGAGTCTGGAGCACTAATGTTTGTTTGTAACTGTACAAATGAACACAGGGTTGATTTAGATCACTTTTTTCCTCAGCGTGTTCTCTCATCTTCAAGGGAAAGAAGGGATTTTCCTGTCTTGCTGCTTCTAACTCCCCACATTACTGTATGACACCAATGATCTGAGGATGTAGATAACTTCTTGCCTGGTGTCCAGGATACTGACTGCAATAGTTGGGCAAGCTGATCTGGGAATACAAAACCTGCCATTTTTATGAATGAATGGGTTTTTTATACTAAACTTTCTTATATTTTAGTGTCCCTTAATATTTAGTTATTTCATTCTGATGCATGTTAACAGAACTAATAGAGAGATTCCTTCCTAATTGGTCTAATTTGCTTGTATAGAACCTATGCACATCTTACCTGTTGGTCAATAAGTATATGCTACCTCCACATCTTTGTATGATAACTAGAAATGGGCAAGTTGTACTGATGCCTAAAGACCTACCAAGAAAACACTTTTTCCAAGTGTTTCACATTCCAGAAAGCTACTCATGAGCTACTGTATCTATGGGAGTGTAGTCACAGCAACTTCTGTAGGAAGTGACCAGCTTCTTATAGGAGGTACATCTAGTAAACCCAACTTGGAGTATTGCAATACTCTTATAAGGATAAGGTACAAAATAAGATATTTTACTTGCTTAAATGGAACATGTGGCTACTCTTGTCCAAGTGCTTTATCAAAGCTTACCCATCATGTGGCTGACCACTGACACACAACAAGAAGCTTGTGTCCCAGAAATCAAGTTCTCCCGTGTTCTGTACCCTCTTCTAGGACTTTATATTTTATGCTCCTCGTCTAAGAATTAACAAGAGGATCTTGCAGTTGTGCATGGGCAACCATGAGCTGTACATGCGCCGTAGGAAGCCTGACACCATTGAGGTGCAACAGATGAAAGCACAGGCCCGTGAGGAGAAACACCAGAAACAAATGGAAAGGTGAATTGAATACAACGGGGAAGATGTCCATATATACAACTACCTGTGTGCATGCAAGAGATCTACATGCAAGCAAACTATCAGGATTTAACATTTAACTGTGGTGGTCTCTGGGGAGTAGCAAATGAGGCGGGATTCGAGGGCACAGTGTTGAAGCATTCAGGCATTGAGGGCCCCTGCCTTTGTCCCACCTTAGTTTCATAGTTAGTAGGACTGGAAGAGATCTGAGCAGATCATCAAGTCTGACCCCCTGCCTTGGCAGAAAAGAGTACTGGGATCAAACAACCCCAGCAAGGTGTACATCTAGCCTCCTTTTGAAGACCCCCAGGGTAGGAGCCAGCACCACTTCTCTTGGAAGTTGGTTCCAGATCCTAGCCGCCCTGACAGTGAAGTAGTGCCTCCTGATATCTAGCCTAAATCTACCCTCTGCCAGCTTGTGACCATTATTCCTGGTCACTCCTGGTAGTACTTGGGGGAACAGGGACTCCCCAATGCCTCTGACTAGGTTGTAACAGGCCACTAGATCCCCCCCCTCAGCCTTCTCTTGTGGAGGCTGAACAGGTTCAGGTCGCGTAGCCTCTCCTCGTAGGGTCTGCCCTGCTGCCCCCTGATCATGCAAGTGGCCCTCCTCTGGACCCTCTCCATGTTGTCCGCATCCCTCCTGAAGTGCAGTGCCCAGAACTGGACGCAGTACTCCAGATGCAGCCTGACCAGTGTTGCACAGAGGGGGAGGATCACCTCCTTGGACCTGCTCAAGATACATCTGTGGCAGGTACTCAATCCTGGAGCCTGAACTTTATACCAGAAAGGACACTTGACTAGAGAGAGAGTTCTTTAAAGGAGAATAAGAATAGTGACACTGGTACAGACCTGCATCTGATTCAGTGTCTTTCTGACAGCAGCCAACACAAGCTGCTCTTTGAATAGGCACAAGAAATGACCTAGAGCAGTGGTTCCCAACCTCTTTTATACTGTGGACTGGCACAGGAGTGGGATGGGGTGCACAGAGCTGGCTGCCTCCTTCCCACAGATGCCCCGCCATCCAGCTTTAACCCCACATATGACTGCCAGGTGGACAGACAAGGGTCAGAGCAGGGGGCTCATGCCACAACCTGGCAGCCAACCCTTTGCAGCCTGGTGGTTGGGAACCTCTGACCTAGAGAGCAGTTAGGACAATGCTTCTGTTCAGGTTGCTCTAACTTCTGTTAGCAGCTGACTTCTGCCATGTAGCACGAGAGCTTATGTCCTTTGTGAAGTCTTTGTGCATATCTGGTATCACTGGAGGTTCTTATGTATCTAGTCCCTCCTGTGGATTTGACCAACATGTGGGCCTCAGTGATACCTAGTGGCAGAGGGCTTGGCAGGTTCGTTGTGGAATGCGGGAAAAGTGTCTCTGTACAGCTGCTTTTGCAAGAGTTTGCAAGGACTTTTTCCCTGGTATTCCTTGTTTTCTCAGCTTCTCTCATCACCTGTTCTTGCTATAAACAAGGTCTGTCCACCTGGCAGCCTGCAAGCTGCATGCAGCCTACAAGGGGTTTTAATGCCTGGCCCAGGGGCTCCTACCTGACTGCAACTCCCTTAGCTGTTCCTGCTGCTACTGTGACAGGGATGCCAAGCTCTCCCCCACTCCTCCAGCTTCTGCTTCCTCCCTGCAGCAGTTGGGGGCAGGACAGCTCAACAGGAGGGAGTCCCTCAGGGCTGCAGTACCTGCATAGTGGGGAGGGGAAGTGTTGATTTTTTTGTTTGTTTGTTTTTGGGGGGGAGGGGGGGTCCATGGCCTAGCAGCATTTAGTTGCTCTATTGGACCACTCTGCTATACCAGTCTTCTCAGTGCCTCTACTGCTGGAGTTTTCCACACACTTTCTATGCCACCTTTTTAAGAAAAGGTATGCAATGCAGAGTCAAAGTTCCTTGGGTGATTCACAGCATTGATTTGGGACTTGACTACTGAAATGATGATTGTCTACCCCTTTCTGATAGTACCATACCATCCTTGGGTTTTGTTTTGGTTCTGATGGCTCCTGAGCTATCTGCAGGCACCCACGTTTCCATCCTCCATGGACACGGTTCGGTTCAGCAGGCAAAAATCTCACCTCGCTGGTTTCTAAAACTTATTTCTCTTTCTAATAGGCAACAGCTAGAAAATGAGAAGAAGAGGAGAGAGACTATTGAGAGGGAGAAAGAGCAGATGCTGAGGGAGAAAGAAGAGTTGGTGATGAGACTACAAGAGTATGAACTGAAGACCCAGAAAGCAGAGAGAGGTAAAGGGCTTTCCTGAGTCAGCGAGCAGGGATCACACACACATTGTGTCAGAAGCTCTTCTCTGTTATGAAAGAATAATCATGTAGCTCAACAGCTGCTCTTACCTGAAATGCTGCCATCTTGTGACACTTTACTCTGCTACCTCAAACCACCTTCTCTCTACAAATGTGTCTGCTGCTGTGGATAAATGCAGGGAAAGAAAACTTCTTCTTTATACAGGGTAGAGGTCAGCAGCTGTGATGTAAAGGTCACTGTGTATCTATTTTGTCTGTCTGTCTGTGTGCTAAGGGACAACATAAATACAGGACCTGTAACGGTCAAGAGGAGGGGCTGTTTAGAACCACTGCCTGACTGCCTTGATGTCTCTCTTCTCAGAGCTCTCGGATCAGATCCAACGAGCCAGGCAACTTGAGGAGGAGAGGAGACGAGCCCAGGAAGAAGCTGAGCGTCTAGAAGCTGACCGCTTGGCTGCCCTTCGGGCCAAGGAAGAGCTAGAGAAGCAAGCCATTGACCAGATAAAGAGCCAGGAACAGCTGGTAGGAACCTTAGCCATGTTGATGGCAATTGTGTACAATCCAGAGTTGTAAATTGTAGTTGCATTGGGTGCATCTACAAGTGTATAATAAACAGTGCATATCACACTGGAGTTTATTGGTCTCAGCTGCACCACTTGAACATGCGCCTGGAACCACAGCAGAACAACCCTGACTGATAGGGTGCTTGCTGGGTCAGCCCAGGGCTGCTCCAGCCTAGCTGCACATGCTGCAGAGGGGCTGGCTGGAGCACAAGTAGCACCCTCATGCCCCAGCCAGCCGGGTCTGTCTACATGTGCATCACTACACGCGAAAATTCTGCAGCAGGATAGTACTTGTAAATATAAGTACTAACCTGCTGCAAAATGAATTAGTTTCCTGTGGCTTAATAGAGCCACACGTGTAGATGCCGAGACGCTTACTGCAGAGCTAATTGGGCAACTCCACAGTAAACGTCTCACGTAGACGCACCCACTGTTGAATTCAGCTTTATTACTACTGCGTGTGGGGTTTTTTATGTTGTATACCAGGCAAAGTCTTACACCCGAGGAAATGGTCAGCTAGGCTGGTGGATGCACTGTAGTAGCATAATCATGGAGTTCATCTCCGACTGAAAAATCTTAAACATCTGAATTTCCCAGAATATAACAGTGGAGACTGCTGCAAAATCCATGCAGCATTCAAGCCATGTTTGTCATTCACAAAAGTATTACTGAAAGACTTCAGAGTATAATTCCAGCCTTGCTATTCAACAGGCTACTGAGCTTGCAGAATATACAGCCAAGATTGCCCTTCTGGAAGAGTCCAGGAAACGTAAGGAGAATGAAGTTGAAGAGTGGCAGCACAGGGTGAGTTTTTCCACTTTAAGTTGATCCAGGCTTTAAACCTGAGATGATAGAATGCACCTGTCTCTTTATTTGGGGGTGTGATCGTTTATAAAGGAAATTCTGGGACAAACTTGTATAGACCTGACAGAAATGACAAGTTTGTGAATGATGACTCTGAATTTCTGACCCAGAGAGTGTTTAGGTATCTGTCAAACCTTTAAATAGTTGGCTGTAAAAACTGACTGCCATCGTAACTCTAGAGTTATGATCAGTCTTGAAGTTATTGTAGGAAATGCAGCAACACAAAAGAAGGAAGTCCCAACAAATGTGTACTGTTGGCAAAGTGCCTTCTCTGCGATAACACTCTGAAAAGTCCTGTATTCATAAAGGAATACCGCAGAATTAAGCACCAGTCTACGGGATTCCTAAGGATACATTTTGTATGCTAAAAAGGTTAATAGCATAAATCTAGAAACCCGTTAGTACTTAACTTTTCATCTAGGTGTGTGTTTTGTTTGTTTCATTTTGTGTCTTGCTACTTGGAACCTCCTAATAAAACAACCCAGCTGGACTTGGGGGGGGGGAGAAGAATTTATCTTGTGGGAAAATAAGGGATGCTCATCCAGGAGGATTTGATTTAAATTGCTGGTCACGGCCTCAATTTAATCATTGTTTTCTACAAGAAGTACACTCTTGTTGTTGGATATCCTTTATTCATTCACTTGAAACTTTGCACTTTTTTTAGAGAGAGGTAAGGGCTTGACTATGTGTACACAAACTTGCAGAGAGCCAGTAGGGTGGTTAATCAGGTCTGTTGTCTCATCTCCACATACTGCTGTTAACAAGGATGTTATCTCTGGAGATGACAAACTTTCCCTATGCCTGAAGAGAAGGGCATTTGTGCCCAAAAGCTTGCAAAGAACTCCCCCCCCCCCATGTTTAGTTGGTCTTAATAAAAGATATTGCCTCTACCCAAAGAATTGTGCCTGCCTATGATTTCTGGAGAGACAAATCCACAGTTTGAGAACTGCAACTAGGCATCACAGAGAAGCTTAATGGGATCTGCTAGACTGAGCATGGCATCCCACTGGGTAGAGTGGTTTTCTGTAATCTTTACTAATCTATAGAGGAGCCTCTGGGAACCTCATAAGATTGAGCCCCTAATGTAGTCCATGGCTTGTTGTGACCTATTTATAAAACTTCTAAAAAGGTTACATGAATGTATGGTCTCAAATAGTATATAACTAGATGTTGTTATCCCTATTCCATGATATCTTTTGAGCTTTAACACATCTTAAATTAAAACTACCTTTTTTTTTAAAAGCACCTTTTAAAAAATTAAAATATGATTTAAATAAAAAGGAAATCTGATTTTTAAAGCTTAAATTCAATTTTAATTTTTTTAATGGTTCATTTGTATCTACCCTGCTCTTCTTCGTATATTCTTTTAGGTGCTTGAGACACTTGATGGGAATTCTAAAGTGTGCAATTGGCCACAGAAATCTTGGATGCTTCAAAACTTCAGTGAATGTGGAAACTTTTTTTTTTAACTAGCATGCATTCTTCCACTTTCAGTGAACTGTAAAGCTTTAGCTTGCTCTACTGCAGTTCCCTTTCAAAATCTGGAAGCTTAGTGTTCATACATTACCATATTAGCAAATATAGGGAATAGATAGCCAGTTTCCTAGCAAGAGGTGTGACTACTTAAAGTTTAGAAGCCAATTTAACATTCAAGTCCCACAACTTAGGGATGTGTATTTCTCCTCATATAGACTCCACAGTCAGATGTCCTTGAACAGGTTTCTGTTTTGAAGGGCACTTGTAAGTATGTGTTCTACGATCTTGTCTGGTAGCCTTTTTTCCCCTCAGGTAATCGCTATTGTATCAGGAGAAGTGTAATTTTATTAAAATCTTACTGGCCTGATCTGCTATCCTGACTTATATTGTTAATACTAAAACAAGCTTCTTTCATTATACACAAAAGTATAGAAAATACTCTTTTTTTTTTTTTTTTTTTTTTTTTTTAGCAGATGACACCAAACCCCTAAGAGATGGTTAAAGGTACTACATAGCTTGCTAAACTGGGTTTAAGTAAAATTTACACACCTGCCTTTTTGTTTTTTAAAGGCTAAGGAAGCCCAGGAAGATCTAGTAAAGACGAAAGAAGAGCTACACTTGGTAATGACTGCCCCACCTCCACCGCCACCACCTGTCTATGAGCCAGTGAACTACCATGTCCACGATAACTTGCAAGAAGAAGGATCAGAATACTCTGGCTACAGCGCAGACTTATCAAGTGAAGGGATCTTGGATGACCGCAATGAAGAGAAGCGCATTACTGAAGCAGAGAAGAACGAGCGTGTGCAGAGGCAGTTGATGGTAAGAAAACAAAGTTTATTGAGAGAAAATTTGACTAAAAGCAAATGTTTAATGAATGTAATAGACTAGTCTAGATGATGGAATCGGTCTGTATCTATACTTATCGCAACAGTCCATACTGCTTTCCTCATTGCTCAGGCACCAAAGATGCATCTTCAGCTTTTGGCATTTTTGGAGATCTTGTTTTTGCAGACAGCACCTCTTACAAAACTCCAGTTGCCCCATTTCTGCCAGTCTCTGTTCTATCCTAAGAATCCTGTCTTGAGGCTGTAAGGTCTTTCAAAAATATCTTGGGTTTGTGATGTATTTTGTGGTTTTTAACATTGCAGACCTTGTCGAGTGAGCTGGCCCAGGCAAGGGATGAAAACAAGCGGACCCACAATGACATGATCCATTCGGAGAACATTCGACAAGGACGTGACAAGTACAAGACACTGAGGCAGATCCGACAGGGCAACACCAAACAGAGAATTGATGAGTTTGAGGCTATGTAAATAGTGTTTACAGCCAAAAAGGCAAGACTATGGGGCAAAAGCAGTCTTTTAATGCTGATTTTTGGGTTTTATTTTTTTTCTGAGGGGTCACTGTATGACACGCTTATCAAATGCTCAGCCTAAAAGAGATCCCAATGGCTGTTTATCCTCCAACTTTTAGTACCAAAATGTGATAACTGCCCATTGGGTCTGTCAACCAAACCATTTTTCCTGGTAATCTTTGTTCATGCATATCCTAGTGCCAAAAGGCCTTTATGTAATGTCCATATTCTCAAGCAGGACTTAATGTTCCATCTTTCTAGTTCTGATAAAGATGCTGCTTCTATGGCAGTTCCTAAATTCAGCTTGGTTTAAAAAAAATAAAGGTGAATTTCGTGCCATACAACCTTGGATTCTCCAAGTGCAGCGCATAATCAGGCTTCTGGCAAAGCAGAACGTAGAATTCTATGCCTGCATTTTCCAAACTAGTGCTGACAACTGCCTGAACCTAGTTTTCAGATCCATGTGGTTGATTAGGTTTTCCTGGTTGCTCATGCCCAACTGGGCATGTTCATGCAGTGATCGCTCAGAAGAAATGCAGTATAGGAACACTCTTTGGTATCCTCTTTACATAGTTAGACAGATACTCAACTGGAATCTAATACAAAGTGTTTATATTCCAGCCTAATTAATGATCAGCTGTAGTGTAGTATTTATGTATAAATAAAGTAATAATATGGATTGTAACACTAGTTTAAAAGGGAAATAAAGTTTGCTCTGTATATTTTGTTACTGTTTTCAGATTTAACATATCCAAATCTATTAAAAAAAAAAAAAAAAAAAAGTTTAAACAGTATACTTAATCTAATGTGCTACAGCCAGTGTATGAAATGGATTACTTGCTATTGAGCATGTGTAAAGATGACTTTTTTTACTTCAGTGAAAATTGTGATACATGCATGTGATTCAGTATATACACTTTTACTGCACCAATTTTTTTCTAACAAGCTTTCTATTTTTTTTTTTAAATATTTGATTTAATAATGTTTCAGACTCCAGCCATGAAGGGACTGTTTATATCACATTTGTATTCTCTCTATTACAGAGAGCATTCCTGTGGACTTTTTCCAAACCCACTCCCTCCCATCCAATCTTCTGAAAATCTGTCAAAGTCCAATGAAATCTGGTATAAGTTCTCCCCCTCTTCCATTTACAACCCTTAATGCTGCTTCATAGTCTTAGTTAAACCCTCTTTATCAAAGTGTTGTAGACCCTTTTTTTCCTTTTGGTGACCGACACTTATCTAAATAAAAGATCTGCAAGCTGACAAAGAATTAGAAGTCAAGTGATTTGTGTTGTGTGGGATGTTTTCACACCAGCCTGATGTGTGCTAAGACTGCAGCATAGTCCCACTTGCACATTCTTGCGTTCGAGTAAAAACGTTGATGCCTTGCAGCTTTACAGTGAAGTCTCCTTGCAGCTATGCTTACTCTGTTAACTGGGAAGGACAGAAAGTGAAAATGCTGCTTGCAAAGTGGCGATGGGGAAGGGACAGGGACTGAGAAGGAAATTGGTTTAGAGCTCTTTGAGCACCAAGAAAAAAAGCATTCAACAGGAAAATGCTACCCTTTATTCTGACACTGGGTCTGCAGTAAGGAAGCATCACACTCGCCAAGTTACCACTAATTCTAATACAGCTTCTGCTGAGACTTAACCATAGGAATTCTAATCAGACAGGGCTTTCTAACTGTGTTTACGCTTGGTCATCTTGATGGGTCAGAATTGTTGGTATAAGCCAGGGCTTTGTCAAGCAGTTGATGGACTTGTATCATGTAATGCTGCCACCCAGCCAGGGGGGTGATAGCAGGGAATGCGGCTGCAGAAGAATTCTTACATCACAACAACCCAGCAGTTGTGAATGGAGGGAACACACAGTTCCCTCCCTCTATCCACTGCTTGAACAATTTCTCAACACTGTGCAGAGCCTGGCTCTAGGGTGGAAGTGATTGTTTTCAGGTGGTTGGCAGAGCATCGCATCCCAGCTTCTGAGCTGGAATGGAACAAGGAGCAAGCAACTCTCGTTAGTCAGACAATGCAGCCTGCTTGCCGGTAACAGTAGAGACCATGTAGATTACATGTTGAGGTCATTACTCCATTGCAATCAGCAGGTGTGCCAGCAGCAGGGAGGCACATGCGAGCTAGCTGTAATCCAGCTATAGCAGAGTAACAATAGTAATTAAGACACAGGCTTCATCTAGCTGAATAAGCACCCAAGGTCCCTGGTGGGCTTGTACTGAAGCCTGTGCTACCACATTTCTACTGCTGAATTACAGGCTTGTGGTCAGAGACTTACAGCTGGAGTGATGTTTAAATACTCCAAAGCTATTAAATGTGCCTGTCCTCCATATTGGCTAATGTAGTAGTTGCCACAACTATTTTTCCAGGTCGCTAACTGGCAGGTAAGTACTTATGATATCATATTTATAAAACATAAGCCACAGAAAAGGTGGGGGGGAGGGGAAGGCCAAAATCTGGGCTACACTATTTGATTTGGAGTTGGACCACTTCACTTTTTCCCAGTGTGCATTACAGTAGAACTCACTTGAGTTGGGGGGCATTCCTTTACCCACTCTGCAGTATTAAACTGACCAATATTTCCTCTTATCACTAGCTTTTTTCATGTTAAATAATTTCCCATTGTGCAATATACAGCAGTGCTTCAGCATGCTGGGAGAGATGGAAAGTAGGGTGTCTAATGAAGAATATTAGGACATGGCCCTAATGTCCTCCATCCTTAGCCTCCCTCTGTACAAGGAAGCCAGCTGTGACTTCTGTAAATGCTTACAACTACAGGGAAAGGCCGCCTTTCCCCTATCAAAGCAATTTAGCTTCTGAACCACAGTAGCAGTTTTGAGGAACAATACTAAAGTAGAGCTTACAAAGTTAAACCTTCCCTTTTGGTAATGAGATTTACACAGTTGCACCATTTAACCCCATTACAATCCCCTCTTTCTCAAGTTAGAGTATGTCTGATCTGAGCCCTGACAAATATCTTCCCAGTGGTGGTCATACTTAAATCACCTACTGCCTTTTTCAAAGTAGTGCTCCTAGGGTGTGAGACTAGCAACAATCTATTAGTCTTGCTCAGTCTTTTGTTACACTGCTGTTTTGCTTACAGATGCAGGCTGCTGTTTACAGCTTCAAATGAAACAAAACCCTGTTCAGTTTTTTGCTTCTGAAGTTTCTAATAGCAGTTTTCTCAAAATTCCCAAAGAAAGTTGTACAACTTAGGATTGTCCACTCCTTGCTTCCTTCTACAAGTCTCCTTTCAAAGGGTAGAGGTTTCTTCCCAGAAAGCAAAGTCCTCATTGTTTACCCATGGCTGGAGCATGTTCTGCATAGCCTTGCATGTTCAACCCCATCAGCCATACTTGCCTCAGCAGCAGGCTGAAGATATTCTTGCCATCCAGGTACTATTAAAATTTAAACACCCCTTTATTTGACTGCAGAGCCAGGGTAATGTCCATCCAGGTATTTGGTCTGCTGAGTATTCTTTGCCAAAGAACTTTTGCTTGGGGATTGGAGGCTGTGGAGCTCATCGGTTCTTCTGCAAGGAAGCCCAAGCAAACGGGTAAGGCTGTGTTGCATAAACAGGGTGACTTCTTGGGATTTCTGAGCCCAGCTCTAGGTCTTTGCTTGCCCCAATTAATATACAGTCTCTGTTTTCCACCCCTTCTAGCTTGTGCTTATTATAGAAAAACTAAATGGGAACAGATTCTCAGGAGCAGTTTGTGGTTAAGACAACTGCTAGCCTGAGAGACATAGAGTTGGCTTGGGCCTGCTTTCCTAATAGGTGTCCCTCTAAAACCTAGTGATGGGAATTTTAAAATAGTTATTATTTCACTGGTAGTTACACAGGAGTCACCTAGCCTACTACAACTATGACTCTAAAGCTCCTCCCTTGTCTGCCCAAATGCCTTCTATGCTTCTAGGCGGGTTGTGCTAAAAAGTACAGGTGGAAATGACCTCCAGTGTCTAGTCTAACTCCCTGCCTGAAGCAGGATCATCCCCGTCCAAATCTATTGACTAACTCAGGGGTGCTCAGCTGCTGCCCTGTGAGCCATGTCAGCTGGCCTGCAGGAATCCCCATGAGTCAAATATTTGGCGGTGGGGAGCAATGGAAGCTTAACAAGCCAAATCCAGTCCTTCCTGGGCCATTGCTACACAGCAGGATCACAGCTGGGCCCAACCCCCAACATATCCAGATCAAGCCAGGCTGCTCCCTATTCCTGCCCCTGTCCTGCACATCTGGATCAAGGTTGAGATGCTCCACCCCCACCTTGTGTCCCAATCAGGGCCAAGCTAATATATGACTTTGTACCCCCACACATGTGGATCTGACCCAGGCTGTTCTCCATCCCCTTGCCCCCCCTCCCAGCAGCTGACTTGGGTCCCTGCCATGCCAACCTTGCATACTAAATTAATCCCACTAACCAGATCTGGCCTGTGGCCAGGCTGGCACTACCCATCCAGCCTGCAGGGAAAATGGGTTGGGCATCACTAGCATAACTCCTCAATAACATACTGCAAAACAGAGGGATCCTAAATAAGCTGTGGCCTCCTGGCCTGAAGTGCAGTCACATTTATATATAAAATGGCAAACCCCTCCATTTTTTTAAATTTAAAAGCTGCCACAACGTTTCCAAGGTAATAAGAGAAGCTATGGTCCTTGTGCAGAACAGTGGGGCCTTACCAGTAATGCTCATGACACACAGCTGCTGTACATGTGCTGCAACTACTTTGTCAGTGTGGAACATCTCTGCTCGTCTCCAAAATCATAGTAGCAAACTGTTCAGAATTGGGAAGCCCTGCACATGGTTAGCCGAGCGCTCTTGGCCACGAATGCCCCAGCTATAGAACATTAGTGTTGGACTGATTATTAAAGGGCTTTGTGTTTCATTGTAAAAGTACAGTAGTAGTTGCTGTGGAAATCCTGCCAGGAGACAAAGCAGGCTCAGAGCAGCTCCAATTAATGTTTCAAAAAATTCTTCGGACTCTGTTTACCCAAGAAGCGGCTGTTATATGAAAGCCTGTAGCTGAAGCCAAAGCAGGAATAATGGAGGACCTAATGGGTCAGTTCTTGAAAGGGGCGATTAGATAACTAGCAGGTCTGCAGGTGTGGCATGCCAAACTAGGAGTCCACAAGCTTAATGCAGGAATGTATTTACAGACGTGGAGACAATAAGCTATCCTGACCCTGGAACTGGGACTGCCCCTGTGTTTGTGTGGCTATCCACTGACTTCAACAAGGCCCCATACAAGAACATGCATGAGTGTTTGTAGTAGCAACTGGAAGCCTCATTCAAGGGCAGTGCTAAGAAATGTACTACCTCAGGCTTTGAGCAGGTAACGTGAATGCTATTTTATCATGTAAACTAAGTACTAGGGCTTTTCCATTTGGCTTCACATTTAAATAATAAAAGGACTTACGTGTGCTAAGCCTGGCTCCCCCCAGAAATCGGTCACTTAAGCCAAAAGATGCTTGGTTCCAGATGGTCAGATCTAGGTAAGCGCACTGGAGCTGAGATGGGGTAACACCATCAAAGACAAACAAGTGCTTCCAGTGAGGGCAGGTTTCTTTCCTCAGGACAGGAGACTTCTGCTTTAACTCACGTTGGTCAGGGAGGACCAGGCAACTTCCAAAAAGGAATGAAAAAAATAGATGCTCAGTGAGGTTGTTGCCCTGACAGGTATATTGCAGAGGTAGAAAACAAAGCATTTCCTCTAATCCCCTCAGGCCCCTCTCACTGTTCTGCCTTGTATATTAAGCACGCCAGAGTGCTGAATAGGATTATTTGGTGTCCCACAGATTTCCCCCCCCTTGCAATTAATCCATGTTCTTATTGATTTCACTAGGCATAAGACTGAGCTCTCCTTATCATTCCACTTGTCAGTGACCACTATAGTAAACCCTTGGCCCCGAAGCCACTAAACCATCCAGCAGTATCTATATAAGAACAGTGAAAACTGCTATTCTTGGTGAAGAAACTGAGACCATTTCACTGTGGCTCTAAGCCACATCTGATAAGAAAGTCTTATATGGCATAGTACAAACCCTCAATGTATTTCTGCAGTCCAGCATCTTGCTTCCAGCAGCATCCCATGCTTGATGGCAGGCATGTAAAAATGACCCTATGTACTAGCTATGGTAGGCTGTACCTGGAAGAAAGAGCTCCCTCCTGGCCCCTGAAGTGATAAGAGTATATATCATATGCTCTGCTTCCATTCTAGGCTGGAAACAAGATGTTGTCTTTGTGTCACCATAACAATGTTTACAGTGGCACAAAGCAAAAGCAAATATAAATCCATGATCATAGTCATGCCACAAATGCCTTTGTGACCATGATAAAAGGGAATAATAATTCTTGCCACTTTTACATGACAGAAGGCTTATTTGTTTTATGGTAGGAGAGTACAGGCAGCCTGAAGCTCCCCACACTCTCCAACCTCCCCAGGCAGGCTTGAGAGGCCCAGTCCTGTGCACCTCAGAAATTCCCATGGAAAAGTGGGCCGCTCAGACCCCAAGAACTCCCACCCAGCTTTCCCCACTTGCAGAGGTTTGCCCTGGAGATGCCCAGGGGTCTCTCAAAGTGGGAAACATTGCCTATTGTCTCACATTTTGCCCAATGAAGTGGATCAGCTGAGCTGGGACACATCCCAGCTCAGCTGACTCGCTTAATTTGGCAACAACTATTTATACCCTTAGTTTGAACAGTGGGAATGTGCCATCAGGAAAGTCATATAGAACTAAGGGAAAATTGACCATGTACAGGTGTTTGTGATATAGTGACTGCCTATAACAGTGATTGTCTCTTTCATCTGTAGTGATGTCTTTCATCAAGCGCAACCATTCCTACTTACTATGGCAAAGGCTGGATGGGGACATTTCTGTAAATGTCACCTACATCAGTTACAAGCGCTTTAACAGTCATGAACAAACAAGTCTTAAAAGGCCTAGAATAAGGCGGATACTACATTCTCTCTCACAGCAGGTCCAAAGCTGCAATTCATTCTGCAACAATGCAAAAAAATTCATGAAGCAAGACATGAGTGTGCGTCCTCTCTTCTGATTTAGAATCATATTTCCTACCTGTGAAACCTCAATATTCAAAACAGGTTCAATACATTTCAATAACTGTCAGAGTCTCTTCAAATTCCACGGCCCCGTTCAGAAAGGCTGAGGGCCAGACTATAGAACCTTTACTTACGCTGGCAGGCACAGAAGTCAAGCTAACAACCTGGATAAGTGCTCACCATTGTGAGAAACAATCTAGCCCAGAGCATATCCATAAAGAACCTTCAGCTGACGGTCCAGTCCCTGCTAACACTCAGCTCAGTACATAATATTTTCAAAAATTCAGAATCTGAAGTGTTAAATCTCTGACATACCCTTTTACAAATGCATTCAGGCTGCCAACAGATCTTAACTCGGGCAAGTTCTTGGCCTCAAGTACTACGAGGTGAAGCTGGCCACCATGAGCTGCTCGGTCTTCTGTCCCTAAAACACAACCATTGCGTCCCATTAGTGACCAGTAGGAACAAAAGGTTGACTAGTTAACACAGTACTAAAGAAGGAAAGGAAAGATACTGAACACTGGTTCTGAGGTGAGGGAGCACAATATCTTTTATGCTTCTGTAAACTGCAGATGTAATTTCGTATGAAAAATCTGAAGCTCTGAAGTCACTTCTACAGTTGCCGTTGGCATAATGACAAGGAAATGTAACTGCCAAGCTGGTCCAAAAAAAAACCCCAGAGCCCACAAGCTGCAATTGCTAAGACCAGATACAGCCAATTCATCCACAATACACGCATTCTGAAGCAGCAGCATCAGATGGTTCATTCCCAGTCTTTCCTATCACTCTCCTCTCTTAGAAGTGCATTTATAAAGCAAATAGCATAAAGGAAAGCAGAAATTAGAGAAAGAGGAAGGAGAAGGAGCTCTGAATCAGGAGAAAGAGTGGGGTTAACGGGTGGGCAAAATGTGGCCCACAGGCCGGATGCGGCCCGCCAAACCATTCTATCTGGCCTGTGGGGCCTCTAAAAAATTTAGAAAATTAGTATTACTCTACCTTGGGCTGCCTGTCATGCAGCCCTCAATAGCTTGCCAAAACTCAGTAAGCAGCCCTCCGCCCAAAATAATTGCCTGCCCCTGGGTTAGAATATAGAGAGGGAAGATGGGGATCAAGAGAACAGTCTGGAGAAAGAAATAAAACTTACAACTGGGTTTGATCCTTCCTCTAGTTCTTCCTGCTTCTATGGGTGGCTGCGCCTAGGTTTCCTGTAGGTGTTTAGCAATACCAAATGTGTGTAACTTCCTTAAGAATCCTACCCTGCAGTACCTGCCATTATCCAGCAAGCTGGAAAGGGAAGTTTCCCCAGCCACCTACCTCAGCAGATTTTCCTTGCTCCATCACTGACCACTCCACTTCCAAAAACTGAATCCCAGTCGAAGTTAAAATTTAAACAAACATAAAGACCTTCAAGGGAAACGTCTGAAGGAAGAAGCCAAAAACTCAGGCCTGTACCTAGAAGACATTTCCGTACCTCCCAGTTTGTCATTACTGATCATCTAACTACAGAGAGGAATAACTGGATCTCCCCAGACAAGGACAGAGGTGCATTGGCAGAGAACTGTGCAGATACAAAACTGCACCATCTCAGCGCACCAGGCTACAGGCATTGTAATGAGGCTACTCTTGTATCAGCTTTTCTTTAAAAGAGGGAAGGAAGGGAGATTGACACAAGTCTGGATTTCAAATACTTTTACCAAATGCTTGTTTTATTTGTAAAATAAATACAACACAATCCACAGTTTGCAGTATCTACTGCATCAAGCAGACAGAACCAAACACAAACACTTCCCTGTGTGTCTGTTTCCATCGGCAGGGAATTTCACGTACTGCTGAAATACTATGTACCTTCCATCATGTGCTCTTCATACCGGAATTTTTCAGGCGGGGATGGTAAGCACATTTTTGCACGCACAAGAAGTTCTCCACTGTACTGAACTTGATTGTCTTCAGGCTTTTCAGGATGAAAAGGAACACACAAAGGCCTGTATTACTACAAAAATACTACACAGCCTCCCCTCTCTATTCATCACTGTCTGCCTGTCACTGCACTGCACCCACTCACATGCTGGTGTGACAAGACTGTCCTGCTACATCAGTTTCATTTTTCCCTCTCCATGATGTACACAGGGTGGTCTCTCCTACAGCTTTCACTATATACCGCTTTTTTTTTTTAATCTTTTGGAAAATTAAAAATAATGATTTTAACCTAAGGCCCAAGAATCACCTTAGCTTTGAGCTGGTACCAGTTGTATGACTGCATTGAATTGTCTTCAAAATTCCAAGACGACAGTGGGATAAGCACCTCTCCAAGAAACACCCGATTCTTGAACACACCTGCATGCCAGACAGATATCTGAAGCTGTCGAGTTTCCAACTGGGAGTAGTCAATCGTATACTAGAAAGATCAACAGCATTTAATAGGCAACATGCAGGATCAACAGAGGCAGACCTTCACAAACACAATCCAACCCCAGCACCATCCTCCCACCCAAGTCAGGACAATATCCAGCTTTAGCCCTGGAGCTGCTAACAGGCAAACTCAGCTGTGTCATCCAAGATGTGTTTCAGCAGCTTGCCTATTGCCTCCCTTAATCCACTCACCTCTGTAATGGCTCCATATTTGCAGAAAACTGCATTCACTCACATTTATTATTAATAAATAAATAAATGAACGACAAGGACAATACTTGAAAAACTGCCTGGGGAACACCTACAATCGCAAATCCTACATTTTTTAAAGTTTAAATAGCTTTTCATCCTTTTGCTATGTTTTTACACCTTCTTCGGGTGGGACAGTAATATTAGATAGGCCAAGGTCATCATATAACTTGCCTGTGTCCTCCTGTTTTCCTTGTAGAAAATTAACGTTTAAGTGAATTATTCGTACAACATAAACAATAGCTCTAGTCATATTGAGTGGATTCTCTTTTCCCCTACACTCTTTTGCATTGCTCTGGATGAACTTCTGTCCCAGACCCCTTCCTGGTTTAAGTTAAATCAGAGTCCCCCCGCATGCTTTTCAGCCCCGGGCTGGGCTGTCTGCTCCAGAGAGCAGGGCTGGCCCTGCCCCTCTGCGCTCTAGGCCAGGGCGGAGGCATGGCCAGACACCAGCCGGCATGGCCCCCTGAGGCAAAGGGGCAGGGAGGGGGTTTATTCTCCCTCCCTGCCCTCTCCTTCTGGGGGACTGCAGCTGGGGTCTGTGTGGCTGGGGTGAAGCAGCCCCTGTCAGTGTCCTTCCCCTCACCACTCAAGCAGCAGTGGCAGCAATGTGACCAGAGCTGTCCACCATGGCACCGTCATCTATCCACCTTGCCCAGGGCTGATGCTAGGGTTGGGACCGGGGCTGTGGGGTTGAGACAGGCCAGCCCGCAAGCACTGCTGAGGTCAGAGCCCTTCCCAGCCAGCTGCAGCTCGGGCTAGGGCTGCAGGAGCTGGGCACCCCAACTGCTCAGTGCTCCCCACACTCAGGTTGGACTGGTCTGTCATGGAGCTGAAGCCAGCTAGGTGACGAGAGGGGCTCTACCCCCACAACCCAAGCCAGCCCCTCTGTGCCCACACTCAGCAGCACCCACAGCCAGCCCAGCTCAGCCCCAGGCAAGATGGGCAGATAGTGGGGCCAGTCAAGCCCGGGCCGCGGGGGCAGAGCCCTTCCCTGCTGGCTGTGGCTCCATGACAGCCCGGCCCAGTGTGCATGAGTGGCGACTGGCTAAGCAGTAACATGGAGGCAACACCACTACACCTGGAAACGGGCACCTTGGCAGCCAGACTGGCCACCCACATGGGATGAGTCCTTCATGCCTGCAGCTAGGAGATGCTGGCGAGCCCAGAGCCCACCAGCCCCCCACTACGGTGGCTCATGTGCCCACAGCAGCAGCCACCGTGCTCTCTGCATGGTGCTTGCTCGTCTGTCTCATGGGGAAGCTACAGATGGACAAGCAAGCATGGTGCAGGTGGCACAGCAGCGACAGTTGCAAGCACACAAGCCCCCGCAGTGGGCGGCTGCTGCGCTCTGGGCCCGCCAGCACCTCCAAGCTGGCCCGGGCAGCCGTGGGCATAAAAAACTCATCCCATGCAGCCAGGCCAGCTGCCAAGGCACACGCCTGCAGCTGCAGCTGCACCAGTGTCACACCTCTGCGTCAGCCACTACCCATGAGCACCAGCCTGGGCTGTCATGGAGCTGCAGCCAGCTGGGAAGGGCCCACTATCCACCCGCCTCACCCAGGGTTGAGCCAGGCCAGCTGCGAGTGCTGCTGAGAGCAGGTACAGAGGATCCAGCCCAGACTGAGCCAGGCTGCAGGGGCAGGGCCCTTCCTAGATGGCTGCAACTCCATGACAGCCCAGCCCAGCCTGGGAGCAGGGAGCCAGGAGCAATCCGGGTGCAAAGCTCCTGTGGCCCCAGCCCAAGCCACAGCCAACCGGGAAGGGCCCTGCCCCCGCAGGCCAGTCCAGGCTGCCCCTCCACGCCCGCCATCAGCAGCACCCATGGGCTAACCCAGCTCAGCCTCACAGCCCCAGCCCCAACCTCATTCCCAAGTGAGGTGGGCAGATGGCGGTGCCATGGTGGCCAGCTCTGGCCATGCCCCCCACCTGTGAGCAGCCAGCAGGGCAGAAAGCCAGGAGAGGAGAGACAGGGGAGTTTAATTCCCCCGCACTTCACCTGAGGCACTGCCCTGGCCAGTGTCTGGCCATGTCCCTCCCCTCCCCCCAACCTCCCTGGGGACAAATCTGGCAAGGGCTGCTTCCCCCTTCCCCCTCCAGGAACACCCCGGCTGGGGTCCCTGCCAGCCAGGGTGCGGGTTTAAACCCGTCCTCAATCATACTCAGCAGCCTGCCAGTACCTACCCATGCCCCCACTTTACCCTGGGTCAGCTTCCCTTCAGCCTTGCAGCCGCTGTGGAAACAAAGGGAAGGTTCACTTTAGTGTCCCCCAGTTTCTAGCCTGAGCCACTGAAGGCATGTGGCTGCATTTCCGGAATCAAAAGTGAATGTCTATTCACCTGCAAATCAGTTCAATCTATGCAGGTTAGACTAACCTATAAAGGTTGAATCAATTCAGGCTCGGGCTTTTTGAATGCTTGTGCTTAGCCTAAATGAACAAGTCCAAACACTGATGTATGAGGCATTAACTGTCACAGAGGAAGAGAAAAATGAAAAGTGACATCTATAATGTATTATTTCTTCAAGCTCAATAGGTATTGAATGCAAAAGTAATGATTCACTCAGCAAATGGCCAGAGGCACTCCCACTGACATTCAGAAAAGAGAGATATTAGATCATATGGATAAAGTACAAAGTACTAATTGTCCTCTGCAATATACGTAAATTAGGTTTATATTGATAAATAGATAAGACCACTTCCTTTCACCATTTTTCAGATAGCATTAGCTAGAAACTACATCAGAATTCAATCAGCAGTGTTTTCCATGGACACAGGGTGATATTTCTACAATATTACAACTTACTAATAAAACTGTCCAGAAATATACACTCTCCTTCCTTTGTTCTCAGGGTTACCATCATATTTGCTGATGGTGATTTTCACTCTGATCTCTTAAATAGGCTGTGACCTAATCCTGAAAGCCTCTTCACAACTCTTGCAATCTGAATGGGAGTTCTGACCCCAGGCAACTTGCAGGATTGGGCACTGGAAATGGAGACTTTGCTAAGAAAAGGAGAGCTCCCAGCCCACAAATGTTGACAAGTCACACCTTTAAAATTTCGTGGAATGCTGGATCCACTGTGCCCTTTCTGACAATGGTCTTCCTTTTGCTCCGAGGAGTTTTGTCAGGAAGCAAGTAGGTCTTTACATACCTGGAAGTGAGAAAAAAAGTAGAGTGGGGGTAAAGACCAAAATTAAGAAGAGTTCAACCTAAGAAGAAAAGGAAATTAAGCCAGCCTGCTTTTTTCATTTTATACTTAGTGCTGGTAAAGATTCAAATTAAGACTAAGGGAAGTCTGACATCCTGTCATCTATTTAGCTGATGAACAGACTAGAGCCATGCAAACTTCCCATACATCATCCAGTTGGAGTGTTTTGGTTTGGCTCTGATTTATACTAAACGGGCTACTGAGTTTTCATGCCCATTCAATCGTTAGCCTCTGCTGAAACTGCCAACAAGGAGGTCAGTAATTACCACCCTAGTAATGGTTTTGTGATGTGGACATCTGCTATGCACTGGAATGGGACCACCAACTGAACCAAATTTAGAAAGCCTGAAGTTGTCCAGTAAAAAAAAAAATATTTTCATAATGGTAATATACCACTCCTGTATGATTAGGACATTCATTTTTACTGTACTAATACAGTATAGTAATTCATTACTGCTTCCCATGCTGACTCATTTAGTAGCAAACAAGTAAGCCTTAAAGGGTAAGATTTTGAAGTAGGCAGAACTGTCCTAACTCAGATCCCATTGAAAGGAAAGCATTGATTGCAGTGGAAGATAAGCTGGGCCAACACTGAGAACTTAAAAAAAATCCAGGGTTACCATATTTCCAATTTCAAAAGAGAGGACACATGTGGGGGGGAGGGGGAGGGGAAGAGGTACATGATGGGGGCAGGGCAGTGATATGCTGCCTGCTCCCCTGGCTTCACTTCCGGCCCAGAGCCACTTTCCCACCCCCCAGCCCAGCTGGCTGATGCTGCTCACTCCTAACCCACAGCTCCCTGCTCCCCACTGGTGCCCCTCACTCCCAAGCCTAACAGGGGCCTGTACACCCCTCCTCTCCTCCTCGGAAGCCTTAGAATACACCTCACTTGCCCGTAACCCCCACACCACATACACCTGCTCA